AAACCCCAATGAAAACTGTAAGCTCTGCATTATGAACACTGCTGTTTGTTTGTTTGGTTGCTTGTCTGTTTGCTACTAACACAGCATTAGGAACATTCTGAATCACCCGATATTGAATACACTACTCCTCCTGAAGTGGTGACGGATAGGATAGATGAAACAGATGTAAATGGTTTAACGGCACCGGCGAAATCCGTAGTAAGAATGGCTCTATTTTTAAGCAATAGCAATCTTGTTATCTCGCAGTCATCTCTCTCTGAGTCATACGAGGGTTTCAGAGGAAAATTTCCTAGTATACTGGAACGAGCTCAAACTATGCTCTCTGATAAGTTTGGCATGGAGTTGGTAGAGATAGAGCCGAAACGAGTATCACGCATTAAAGCGAAAAAGCAGTTAGAAAAAGGCACGAAACCAGCCGCCAAAGAATACGTTCTTGTTTCAAAACTGTCTCAACCCTACAAAGATGCTATTTTCTACGCGGAGAACATGCCTTCCATAAAGGGAGCAGTGTCTGAAAACGACAAGATACCAACTATTGAAATTGCAATATGTGTAACGCTAATAGCATTAAGCGGAGGAATGATGACGGATAATGGTTTAAGAAATTCGCTCGATACTGTAGGAGTGTCAGGGATCACAGACGTGATCGCGCGATGTCTAAGGAAACGGTACATTGAACCCGAAATACCAGAAGGAGCAGCAGCCTCTTCGAGTGATGATAACAAGACTTACATTATTGGTGCAAAGGCGAGAGCCGTATTTGATATTCCCGGACTGTGTAATTTTGTTACCAATTTGTTGGTAAGCTCCTCTAAACGGTCTCGCGACTATGATGATCTGGACACCGTCGATGGACTCGGGATATCTAAACGTGCTAAGCTTCATAATTCCATTGTTTTAGCGACAAATGACAGTCTCGTTGGATCTACATCCAACACCGATGAAACCAGCAACGAAAACACAGCTGATTCTGCCCAGCAGTAGTCTCGAAACTGGATAGGGGCCGGCTCCCTATACCTCGGTTTGGAATTCATAAAGTGATCGAAAACCTGGAATGAGACCTTAACCGTTCTAGTTGTTGTCAAATCTAATGATTGCAGCAAAGTATACGCGAACACCTGTAAGTAGCTTATACTCGATGTTTAACCATACACTCGATCATTTGCGCTGTTTCTCTCGCGTTGACTGAGCAATTGCCTATAAATGAAGCGCGGAGGTCAGAACTGGATCTGTTTTTGCCTGAGAATATACAGCGCAAGATTGAAGAGTCAACGTACTTCCTCATGAACGCGTCAAGGCCGTTCAGAGCAGCAGATCGCACGCCACAAAAAAGGACTTTTGGGCTCTTTCTTCAATGATAAGACAAAAGAGAGAAAAAGAATTGAATTGGTTCAAATAATAAGCAAGTTTGAGAGCTACTGTGAAGAAGAACTTTAGAAAGCAACAATTGGCTACTCTTGGGACTCCCTATACGTTTATATGAATTACAAGATTACAACTTCGACGGGCTGCACACAGTCTTCTTGAATGGTTCGTGTCAAAACAAATGTATCACCCTCTCAGAACTTTTGTTTATCTCATGCCTTCTACAAAAATCATCCAAAGAAATAAGGAGCTCTATATATAATCTATGTCCTAAAATGACGTCCTTTTAAAGTTCATAACTTGAACGCTAAATTACGTGAAAAACGTTACACGCGTTTATATTAAGGTTTTATGATTGTTTACGTGCAACGGCTTGCTCGTTCATCTATAGTAAATGCTGCGAAACGGTCGCTTGAAGCATTCGCTTCGAGTCAGTAAGAATTCTCCTCTCTAGAGGCATACATAGTCTGAAATTTAACTCTAGGGCTACGTCAGCTATTGCAGTATTACGTAAAAGACAGTTTAGCCTATGTTTGCAAAGATTGATGCAGTCATTCATTTACCTGAAGAAGTAGAGCAATACCCCGCGATAGTGAGGGGGCACTAACGTACCTTGTAGAAAAAGAATTAAAACAATTTCAACAAAATGAAACATGTATTAATGTTTTCTTACGCACGTAGCAAACCTATTATCAGTGATTGTAGGTTGAATTCCAGCGCAGCGTTAGAAAACTTAAGGCACATGTGGTTCTGTGTTAAACAAGCGGCGGAACCGCAGTGCTGGAAGAAGAAAAAAAAGATACAAGCATATTCAAAAACGCACAGCTTGGTTATCTGATAAATGTGCGATTTCAAGTCGAGTTGAAGACTGCAGAAAAAGGAAAGTTGTGAAGTAAGTGTCGTTGGCAGGTGAGATTTTGATAGTCATGTTTCGTTATCGGAATTCTGCACGTAAGAGTGCCCTTTTCTTTTGCAAATGAATTAATATGCGGAGTAGTTCATTGAGTAGTTAGAAAGCGGTATGTCTGTAGGAGTTCTCGGGGGAGTGAAAAAATGAGCAGAATATGACTTTTCAGAGTTTGGTGGAGGAATTGCGTCATTCATTGCATCGTCCGATGAAGAAAAGAATTCTTGAGGATCAAACACAGACAAAACATCAGAAGGTGTGTTAGAACCAGTTGAAGATAGGGCAGGAGGTGGAGTAGAGGGAGCTTCCAAGCGAGCTGCTATAACTGCTTGCTGGCGCGCAACGAATTCCGAAACGAGGTAAGCAATTTCGTGAGTAGCTTGAGAGGAGTATTTCTTGGCCAAAGTTCGTGAGGGAGACTGTATATAGTCGCAGATGAGCATTACGCAGTTGACTTCATCCTTCGTTAGTGATTCGTGCATACCAAGGTTAATATGGCCAAGAATGTGGAGTGCAAGCAAATGGGCACTTGACGCGATAACAGAAGAAGTATAAGTAAGGAACGGACGTGAAAAAAGAGTTATTTCGCAGAAATAACGAGCCATATTTTCAACTAAGGGATTATAGTTGCGACCGCGCAAAACTTGGAGGTAGCACTCGCATGTGGGCTGCCCGACGACCCAGTCAAGAGTAGTCAGGACGTGCCCTTCCATTTGGACGAACATAGATTCTTCGTAAGCATGGCAGCACATTTGCTTGAGCTCCTGAACACTTGGAACGCGTTCTTTTTTGTCTTCGTATTTAGCAGCAATCCATATGGCTACGCAGCCGACGAGCTGATAATGTTTTTTATAAACCACTCGTTTTGAGCAGTATCGGTCGATGAGAGAGATTGCCAAGAACAGTGTTTTTGGCTTCAAACGAAGAGATAAATGTAACTCAATAAGGAAATCGATTAAATAGGGGCGCATATGCCACTCGATTTCAGGTTGGAGGTCCATAAGTTGAGAATCAGGTCGGCAGAATTTTTCAAGGTCTTTCATGTGAAGTAGAATGTCATCTTGATACTCGTCTTCGACTGTCTTGGAAATATCTTGTTCAATGAGGATAAGCCTTTGAGACACAGGGCGATGGCGTATATAAGATGCTGCGTCAATTATCTTGTGTGGTTGTTGGTGCGACTGATTCAAGGACATAATGAAGATAGCTGGCTAAGAAAGAAAAGTTGGAAATACGAAAAAAAAAACACGCTCTGTTATCCAAATTGCAAATTGATTGAATAGCACAACTTGAAAGATCTCTGTAGACTCAAAAAAATGCGTTAGGCCAAAGAAGGGAATGAGAATAACAGAATCGAAGGAATTTGGTATGTGAGGGAGAGAATGTACTGCTTCTTTGCTGTTGAGGGTATCAGAGAAGAAATGAATGAATAATTGTTGTAAGTGTGAAATTCAACAAAAGTAAGAAAACGAAAAGGAAGAAAGAGAAGATGGTGCTTTAGAAGAATTCAAGTTGTTTTAATAAGAGCAAAAAATGGAATGGGCAGGGGGTCACCTCCTTTCCCCTTGTGAGGAATGTAATCTTAGTTTATAGGGGGTGCCGAAAAAGTATTGGGATTACCAAAAATGGAATATCAAGAACTTATTTACTTTTGGCGCTGCTTTATTCTGTACGTTTCAAATCCGTCTTAATTATTATAAGTAGTGAACTGAATGAGCAGAATATAATATGTTCAGATGAATAGTAAAAGAAGCTATTGTGGAAGCTTGAGAAATGTACAGAGGGCATTATTCTTATATACGTAATTCTTAAGGGTCACACGCGACAATTGTTTCCTAAATAAATAAAGTTGAATAAGGTTTCACATACCAGAAGCTATTGCTTATTATACATATTTGAACAACTCCTAATCCGTATTGACTATGTAAGGGGTGGAGCAAGAGCAAAATATACTCTAACGGTTTAAGAGAGTTGCTAAGTTTATTTCTTTTCTCTCATTACATGTCACTAAGCTCTTTAACAGCTAGTAATCTTCAGGGGCCGCCATGGAATTTGAAGTGGGATAGTCAGTGCCAGCGATAGCCCTTAAGTGATGTCTCGACGCCTATTGATTCACACTTTAGCGCGCAATCTCTGCGTAGTAGCTCTTATACTGCATGCGACACCGGTCCATAGTTTTACGTAACAGTTAATGGTACGCTTTGATCTGATCTAAATGATTTAATCGTAACCCCGTATATTTGTTTATGAATTATCTTTTACACCACTCAGATATTTGATCAAGAACGTGAAAACGCGTCAATAAAACTTTAATTCACGGTAACGTTCTAGGAGAACTTTAACAAAGTCAACTTCTCACATCAAGTAACTTATTCGTACTGCATGCTGCTTATTTCACCCTCTTGCGTGCAAACCAATCTAAATTATTCGTTTAACTCCAATTCTTAGCGTTCCCAGATATTTTAACTCCTTCATGAATAAAGGATGCCTAGCTTTTCATTTAGGCAATACTCTAAGTCGTCTAGAGTACTTAGAGTTTATAATACTTAATGCCGTTACAAATGTATTAATTACACATGTGTGCATTCTACAGGGCTAAATATAGCACAAAGAAAAAATAGACCGACCTAAAGGCCGCTTTAATTGCACTCCCGTGCAATTCACAACTGCTAGACCAGTCTAAGTAAGCCAATAATATACATAAAAAATGTATGGTAAAATAAATAAACACCCCACGGGGGTCTCGAACCCCCAACCTTGAGATTAAGAGTCTCACGCTCTGCCAATTGAGCTAGCAGGGTAGATTACACCTAAGTTCCCTGCTTTGTTCAATTTAGCATTGTATTAGCGAATTCACAAAAAAAGATCAGATACTGGGGAAGGAGCCACCAATCTCTACAATGGAAACAAGCAATTTCTGATCTCCGAAACGCAGTCAATCATTTCCTGCGGTTTGCTATTTCAGGAATACATCTAATATCTGCGAATTTTGACTGGTTTCAAGAGTTTTGGCTGTCTTATGGTAATTTTTGGTCGATTCGGCTTAGGAATGGGTATAACGTAATCAAGCTTAATGGTAGAGGAGCGTGATCGGAGCGTGATCTAAATAGGTGATTCATAATTCGGCCTACTGTCATGGCAAATTCATATTCTAGAAACTATCCCCAAATGACTATCAATGTCAACGAGGGGCGAGACTACGCACATGAGGGCCAAGGAAGTGTCCCGTTAATGATGTAATAAAAATAGTGGTAACGCTATCAGCAGCACGGATGAACTCAACGTTAAGGGCATCATGCATGTGAGAATAGGGCAAGCAGGAAATCAGAGCGGACCTGTCTCAATGTCAATTTAGGATCAACTTCCGTAATGTCGGGAATAATCTCGGAAACAATAGCCTTGCTGCTCATATAGAGATGAGGTTCAGCTTCTCCGTTAATGAAATCATACAATCGGAAAAAGCATAAATTACTTCGAAACTGTGATTCCAGCGATATATTGGGGTTCAACAGTGTCAGTGAAAACATGCTTCTGTTTCTTGGATTGTCATTGAACAAAAACAATAGCATGAAAGACGACACCACCATTGATTGGATGCGCGTTTCTTATGCAACTGGTAAAACCAAGAGAGACGTCCACAAAACCATTTACCCGAAGTGTAGATGGATTATACTTGTAGAAAATTTCTTACTCTTCAGTAGGGATCTTAGTAGATATTGAGCAGATTCCCAATGAGCTGTATCAGGCCTATGGCTCAATTGAGCAAGATGAGAAACAGTAAAAGCGATATCAGGGTGTGAAGCTCAGGTAATATAAAGCAGAGCACCGATCAGCGGGTCACAGCGATAATCGCCCGCATTCTCAGCGTCAGTCTCAAAATCTTTTGCAGGACAATGCTCATAACCAGAAGGATTCGCAGGTAAATATTGAACGGCAAGGCAAATTACTCCGATCATGTGACTGAGGATTAGTACTTTGTATGTGTAACAGGGTTGAAAAATGCTAGGTAATCCACGCACAGCTAGGTTCATATGAGAGAATTACCTGTATGGGTATGAGCAATATGTCATCCATATAGTAAGATATCCTGCACCAACACGAAGACAAGTTTGCCTATTAGTTATATACGGTGTGTAGAGATCATCGAGTGTAACTTATAGACCCATATTGTTCGCATTCGATGTTAGATGTGAACCTCAAATGTAACTCTAACCATCGATGAACGTAAGGTTGGTGAGGGTGGTGCTACATGTCTTCGAATAAAAGCTACTCCTCTCTTCAACCTAGTTCAAATAACGGAGTCTTTACAATTCAGGATAATTCTGTTTCGCTATCAGTATATATATCGAGACTGCGTACACTTTTACGCTTCACTGCAGTCCGGTAGATTTCTTCCTAGCGGTCTGCTTCTGAACTGAAAGGCTAACTAACCCGCACACTACTTCACTTAATCTCCTCAATACCCTAACCCTTTTCTAAATGATGTAAAAAATCCGTCCTCGAAAACCATTACACCTCTTAACGTCCATCCATATCGACGCACGCACATCAAGAAGAGCAAATATGTCAGCAATCTCGTCTTTATTTGGCAAACAACCTAAAGACGACGAACAGACTGTTCTAAAACAGCAACTGCAAGAAAAAATCAAGCAAGAATTTGCTGTCGCTAACATTTCGGAGCTTGTAAACCGCCTAACCGAGAACTGTTTCAATAATTGCATAACTACTCCTACTGGTTCACTCGATACTAACGATCAAAACTGTATCTCTCAGTGTGCAACTAAATACACTCAAGCATGGAACATAATATCAAAAACTTATATCCAGCTTGCTAGACATTGATTCCGATATGCTAATGTATAATAGAAACTTATTTCAAATCTTACTCGAGATCAACTTAGCCTTTCACAATACACCTCCAACGACTTTCCCACCCCACACCAATCTTATGGCTCCTAAATGTACCATCCAGTCTACTTGGTTAGACGTTATCCATGATGTAGAATCCAATAAAACAGCGAATGATAAATTCTTCGTTTCCTGCTTGAATGGCGCAAAGTCGGTGCATGGCTACATTGATGTATTTAAGGATAGCAACAACCAGCTGATTATGAATGCTCTCGATGAAATATCAATAACTAGAACATCTCCTCTCTCTCTTGAAGTCACGTGCGATTCACTTTCTATAAACAAGATGCCTCTCAGAACTCCATCAAAGTTACTGCTTCCTTTCTCTCGTGATCTTATTACTTTCGACGTCAACCTGAACCAATCACTATACGTGGTTGGCTCAATCGAAGGTGACCTAACAGTTCACCCTGTTAATAAAGGCTCAATATTTCCTAGATCTTTAAAAGGACATTTAGGCCCTGTCACGAGCTCTAAGTTCTTTCCTTCTGGTGAAGTCATCCTCTCGTCTTCTACCGATATGACTTTAAAAATATGGAGCGCCATTGACGGCTCTAATCCTAGAACATTCTCTACGAAATCTCCTATAAGTGACACATCAATAATTGGCAGAGGCAGGAATATACTAGCCGGACTAAAAAATGGATCCATCCAAATGTGGGAGACAGGTTCCTCGTCTTTAGTACGCTCCTTTAGTAGCTCCTTATCTGCAGCTGATTCTGTCACAACTCTCGCGTTGGCTTCTGGTTTCCGTTCAGAGGCTAGCGGCTCTGATTACGATTTCGAAAATGAAGACAAGCTCATCTTAGCCGGCTTCCATAGCGGCACGGTTTCTGCTTATGATCCTAGAGACCCTTCGCAGCAATGCTTTAATATACAGGCCAATGCCTCAATAAGATCACTGGCAACTAATGATTCAGTATTGGCTTATAGTACAAATTTGAGTCCGACTTTGTATATACATGACATCCGGAGCCCCGAAATCCCTGTGCAGGAAATTCAATATGGAGATATATCCACAATTGCTTTCTCTGGGGATGTGGTGGCGATCGCTGGATCAGAAGGAATTCCAATCTCTTTCTCGTTGAAATCTCCTGATACGATCACGTCATACTCAGGGTATGATTCAGATCCGGTGATGCAAGTCAAGTTTTCAGCGGACTCTAAGAAGTTATACGCCTCTTGCAGAACAGCTGGATTACATGTATACCAGGTATAAGGATGACAGGGCAATATCAAACCTTGAGTCTCTTGACTCCTGTTTGGCCGTCCTCCTCACGGAGATGGTGTGGGTTTTTCCTCTCTTCTGCCCGTTTGTTCCAAGCTTCTCGTATAGATTTTTCCGCTGCTAGCAAATCCTCCTGAGTGACATTATCTTGAATGCTTTCAAAAGTGCTCTTAGCAATGTCAATGAAGTTTGGTTTAGTTTTATCATCGCGGAACCTCAAAAATCTCCACTGGCCGAGTGCTGCTTCCCAATAGCACTCGACCACGCGTCTATTTAAAGGCTCTTTAAGAGATTTGAGTTCTTCCCATTCTTGATCCGATAGCTGCATTTCGCCAAAAACTTCATATTGTTTTTCGCTTGACGATGTCCATACGGATAATGTGCATGCTGGCTTGGAATCATAGTCCGTGTATTGAGCGGTAGTTTCAGAATCGACATATATCGGGAAAGTTATAGTCAACAAGAAATCAATTGAGTTTTCTTTCTCAGGTTTCCATTTAAGGATTTTTGGATCTGTGCCGAACTGATATGGAGTCTCACGGCATGTGAATATCAGGCCATCGGTTTCATGGCGCAGAGTAGGCATGACGATATTAAACATTTTCTCCAACGAGTACGCCGGCGACATATGTTTCATTTCAACCTTGAAAGGGAATTGTGCAGTGTCTTCTGGGAATTTATCGCACAACGTTCGGAAAGGTTCATAGATGAAATTCTGCAAGTAGCCTAGGCGAGAGTCAAGGGTTCTATTGCACAGATTCTTGCTCTGACATACTAAGCAGTCGAACATTAGAAACACGGTATCTCTAGTACCATCAGGTTTTCGATCATATACCAATTCACCGTCTATTAGGGTATTTATATGTGAGTCGTTGAAATTTGTAGTGGATGCTGGGAAATGAATGGCATTTTGGAGTCCATAGTAATCATTAGAACGGGTAATGAGGTATATGACTTCAGATCCTTCGATCTGCGTAATAAACAGAAGCAAACGCACTCCATTGGTCTTCTCGCATACGTAATAATCGTATGAACACAGTTCATCTTTAATATGGTGGCTAGCGAAAGATACCGGTTGTGCACCAGGAAAATCGTAAGATCTTCGGTCAAGAAGTTGTGCAATACTTCTTTTTACCGGGCCCACAGTATCGCTGGACATTAGCAATCCGGGAATAGTATCTGGAATAGACATGTTGGTTCAAAATAATCTGTTCTTTCTTTGAATTTATTATTAACACGATTGTTTTTGTATGCCTAAAACCAAGGTGGTAGTGCCGAAGCAGGCTCAGTTCCTGCGCTGGAGGTGGTAAACAGGCCAAAGTGCGGCTTGACCTTTAAAGTCCCAGCCTTCGAGAACATCCATCTATCGGACAATTGAAACTACTCTTTACGAATAATGGATAACGTACCTAAGTATGTCATATTAACCTTAAGATTTAATTTCGATCTGGTTTGCTAACTGTCAATAGAAATGTGGTACAAAAACTGGTCTTCTTTACTGCCGCAATTCTGTTTGCTCCTTTGGGAGCCTACATGTTTGTACTCAAAGTATCAGGAAGCAGTGTATTTGCAGGAATGTGGGCCGCTATAGTTGTAAATATTGTCCTTGTTGCTTATGTAATAATGGCATTCAGGGAACCTGCACCAGCTGCTGTCGAATCAAAA